TGTTTTTTGGAGGCTGCAACAGGGAAGGGCTGAAAGCCTGAGTTTTGTGCCGTGAACTCTCTAACCCTCATGCTGGTGCTAAACTTCTATAAGCCCTGAACCCTGAATCCAATGCCCTGAACTCAACCGCACGCCCCAAATCCTAAGACTCAATCCTGTTGCCGCATTGGTACCTCAAATCGACCTCAACATGATGTTGGTAGCCATTTAGTACAGCGCTGATTCTTGTCTCCCTTAGGCCTCAACCCAAAAGTTCCTTTTTGCATCGGAATCTGGTGATTTATCAAAGTGGGTGTAATTGGCTGAAGCTTATAGGTACGTTGTGTACTGCCCCAACTCTGTACGTAACAGTCTGTAATAGGTGTCATAGTAAGGGCTTTAGATGTTCACATCAGAATTATGATCCAGCTGTTACTGAGTAGGGGCAATATCCAAGATGTATTGATTGAGGCTTTACCTACGTCCCAGTTCAGATGTGCTACAGGCCATGCACCCTAAACCCTAAACCCCTTAAACCCTACTAAATTCGTAGCATTTTCTGGAGGCTCAAACCAAACCTCCTTCCGAGCCTACACCCTTAGCCCCAAACCCAGAATCCATAGTCCTAGATAGAATATGGGGTATATGGGGATCTTTATTATAATATACCCAAAGCCATATTCTATCTACTTAATGGGGACCATAGATCCTAAGCCCGAAGCCCTACACGGCCATTTTGCTGGCTGTCGCAGCACAGATCCTCGTTGCCTTTACTTGCTTTTGAAATCTGTGGGCTCCTTCAGTATCCTGTACAATACGCGCTTGTCTGTTGGGCTAGAGGTCTAGCTGCAATTACATAGGAAATAGTTGCACTACCCAAGGATCCTTCGACCCACACAAGCAGTGTGCCAGATGTCCTCCATCGACCATCACCAACAACCCCCTCGCGCTAAGCCCTACGGCGTAAACCACTTAACCTTCCGCATTTCGGGTGAAGGGTTCAGGTAAGCTCCTAAACCCTAAACCCTAACCCCTAAACCCTAAACCCCTAAACCCTAAACCCCTAAACCCTAAACCCTAAAGACGGTTTTGGACGAAGTTTGATGATCCAAGGCTCTAGAGCACCCAACTAGGACCCGCCCTGCCAGTTGTGCTTCAGGCCTGGTACCCTAAATAAGCCATAGTCTAAACTGCTTACAGGGGATTATATATGGGATTACATAGGGTTTAGGGTTTATAAACTCCTTAGAGAAGTTTATGTAAGGGATTATATGGGGTTTAGGGTTTAGAGTTTCTTACTAACACCCACCCATGACACCCGCAAATCTGGTCAGCCTTTGGCTTCACCACCCAATCCAACAACACAGCGTCTGCCATTCTCCTTCAAAGACGTTATGAGGGAAATGCTCAAACTCAAGTAGGAATCCCACGCAGCCTTGGAAGGTCCTTCGTCTGTATCAAACCTAACTGGGCTTAATTAGGATTCTGATAATCTCTAATATTCGGAAATATAGCAGAATAGGAACAAGAAAATTGGAATAATCCTAGCAGCACTAATGTTGATAGCCATAGCGCCTAAACCCCAAGGCCTTAAATCCTAAACCCTGTAGGCCCAAGGGCTCTTCGCAGTCGTTGGCGTGGCTCTTATCTACGCGGTGGTTGTGGCCTGCGGCTCAAGCTACAGTGTTTAGGGCTTACAGTTTAGGGTTTAGGGTTTGAGGTTTAGGGTTTAGGATTTAGGGGCCATTTCCCTTTTCCCTACTAAGATCCCGGGATTCATTCATGCTAATGAATGGGGACCTGGGGGAAACCCTAAACCCTAAGGTTTGTTAGTAGAATCGCCGTGCAGGCGCGAGGCCATCATATCCTTTTTCATGTGAATCTACCCTCATCATTCCAAACTAACAGGGGAGCCCATGTGAGCCATAATCTAAACTCCATCAAGGGGATCATGTAAGGGAGTATATAGGGGACTTCTAGGGGGGTCATTTTTGGGATACTAGGGGCTTAGATTACATGGCTCTATTATCCCACTTTGGCGGGGTACTAGTGTTAGAGGGCACCTTGTGATTTTAGAGTTCCATGTCAGTTTGGGTAGGGTAGTCACGCTAATTGTAGAATATGCTCTCAACCTTCAATATGTATACATACTTAGTGATCCACTTACGCTCTCCAAACCCGAAGGAGTCAGTGTCTTCAGAGCTATGCTGGGCTAAAAGAAAATTGAAAATGAAATGTCACTGGGGCTGCAAAGGGGGTTTGTAGGGATGATTGCCAATATGAATGGTTCTAGGTTCGGTGTACAATTATGGTACAGCGTACCCCAAAGAGACTTCAACAAGCTGGTGATTATTTCGGCTTCTACACTAGTTAGCAGTGAGGCTGGAACCAGGATTACCGCAGTGGAAACTAGGATTTCGGGGTTTGGGGCCTGCTCCGGTGTGCTGACAACAAAACCTAGCAAGGATTCTTTATGTCCGCCTATGTAGCTGCAGCCCCTATAAACGTCCTGCAACTTCACGGCAGCAACAAATGAGCCCCAGAGTCTTTGATCAGCTATACGGCGGATGGACGACTTCGGGCGTGACTCAAAATATACCAACCTGAGGAAATACCTCAAACCTCGACCCTAAATTCTATCTAAGCCCCGTAATTAGTCAGTACAGCATACAGTGGATAGGGGAAATCTTACACTACGTAGAGCGCCGAAATGCTGCTGATAATGATTAAGGTAGGCGAGGTGCAAGATTTCAAACAGTGGTCTTGGAAGCAGGGGCCCCGTAAACCCTAGACCCTATATAGAGCACCGATATTCTTACTCCAATGTATACCCTAATATGGTAGAGTAGTGTCCATTTTTTGCTATTATCCCTAATATGAGCTATAGTCTAAACTCTTTAAAAAGCCTAAACCTGAAACCTTAAACCCTCAAGCCTAAACCCTAAACTGGAATAGCATGAGGTTGGCGTGATCAACCCATTGATCAAGGCGCCACAGCTGTCTTTAGAGAGGGTTTAGGGTTTAAGGGTTAGGGTTCAGGGTTTAGGATGGTAAGCTTCCTAATAGTAGGGTGTTGGTGTTGGATTTTTTGGGGGCAATGAGAACGGGGGATGTGAAACTTAGGGTTTAGGATGTAAAATTCCCCACAGTTTTGGGGACCAACTACTCTCAATGCGAAGAAATTCGCTTTTGGGTGTCGTGTTTAAAGTTTTGCAAAAACGGCTTCAAGAGCCAGTCTGCGCGTGAATTCTGAGTCACTCAGCAAGTCCCCTTATTCCTGGTCAGCAAACTCGCTCAACAACCACGTGTCGTTTATTCTATTTACAAAGTTGACACGACCTGAACTCTGAGACCCAGCTTGATTCTTTTTACAAAGTTGACATGACCTAAGCCCTGAGATCCAGAACGTGAACCCCAACAGAATCCCTATATATGCCCACTTTCCATTTCATTCTTGTCCATTTGAGGTTCCGTTACTGGCATAATATCCCTATTTGACCCCAATAATCCCTATGTATAGTCCCCCTGAAGTAGATAGAACATGGGGTATATGGAGATCTTATTGTAATATACCCAAAGCTACATTCTATCTATTTCAGGGGGACTACAACCCTTGTATATTCCCTGTATAGTCCCCCTAAACCCTAAACCCTAAACCCTATAAACCCTAAACCCTAAACCCTAAACCCTATAAACCCTAAACCCCTAGGGGAGCCTTCGCAGGCATATCCTGGCAACCAGCCAGGAGCTTCGTGAAGAAGCGGCCCTTAGTCGAGGGGGGATGGGGTGGAAATGCATGTTGGGTCCCTAAACCCTAAACCTTAAATCCTAAACCCTGATCCGGAGAAGAAATGAGTAGGTTCAAGGTTTAGGGTTCAGGGTTTAGGGTTTACGGAGTTGCTACTGTTGATGCTAAGGATCCTGCATGACCCTAGCATGCTATAGTAGCATACTTCCCAAGGTGTAAGGTAGTCTGGGTCCTGCAGATTTTTTTGTATTCACCGTGATCTGCATCCAATCCCCCTGTTTTTAAATCCCCCCACCCCCCGAATAGTAGATATTCCCAATATATTATAACATACCACATGGTGGGAGTATGTAATATGGGGGGCGAGGGGTGGGGGGTGGGGGGTTTTTATATTAGGGGGAGAGGATTACACTCGAACACCTACATGCGTATGCCAGAAGGCTTTCCAGGCAGGATGCGCAAATTTGCAGCAAGGTCTAGAAGATACTGCCTTAGACCGCAAACCCTAAACCCTAAACCCTTAACCCTAAACCTTAAACCCTAAACCCTCAGACACTAAGCCCTTAACCATGAACCTAGGAGCCCTGGACAAAAAAACCTTAAACCATGAACCCTAATCTCCTTCGCCGTAGCGTTTACATCACTACTTAAGTGGTACGCCACATTTGTAGCGCAACATGTATTACGTTGACACTCGATTTGATTGTGAGAGTGGAACATCTAACGGGTGTACTAAGTCCTAACATACACTTTAGGCTAATATCCATATTAGCCTGATCTAAGTGTGTGTTTAGTACCTTTTTCACAGACGGATAAATCCTGCGCGAGCAACGGATTCACGCAAGAAGTGCAGCTCGTCCCCTGCCGGCACCGAACCTGAGCCGGCTGACTATACGCAGTTGTCAGCAGGCGAGGACACTGACGATGCGGCGACTATGTCAAAGCTAAAATCACTGGGCCTCTACGTCTTGGAGAAGCATCGTGCTGGCAAGGGGCACATGAGTGGCACACAAGGCCACAATGTCGTGGGCAACGTTGACTACCACACCACGACACGCCAGTGTCCTGCCTTGGACGCGGGCAATCAAGTGGTTCGGGCAGTCAGCGGGCGCATGATTGCACGGCTCGGCACAACGCCATTGCCTGGCGCAAGGTGGACGGCAGTACAGCGTGGCATGCCTGTACTACGAGCCAAATATGCACCGAGTCGTCCTCTCGCCCTTGCCGGGTTCCACACCCAGCAGTTGGTGACCTAGTTTCGCGTGTGGGGAAGGGCGTTGGCTGACCAGTTTGAAGGCACCGCCCTCACCGACCCCCAGTTGTCAGAATACCACAGACAAGTCTCTACGATCACTGTTCTTCCTGTCAACTTAGAGCCAGTGGTCCGAGCTTGGCTATGGATTCACGAACTGGCAATGGTGGACTACTTTGGCTATCCACGCGCTGGAGACCTCACAGCACCACCAGCTGGCTGGGTAAACATCACTTTCTTTCCGGCTAGTGATGTGGACGAAGTGTTGGAGGCGTTCCAGTACCACGTCGCCATATTCTACGATGGTGATCTCTCTCGTGATGAAGATCGAGAAGAGTTGTGGACTGTGATTCAGGCTCTCTGGGGTGAGACCAACCCGGCTGACCATGCTCATGGGTGGCCAGACGGATTGAATGCCACGCCACTGTCGGTGGCAAGGCTACCCCAGTTGATTGACCACGTCGCCATCATCAACTCCAGTGCAGCAGCGGCCGTTGCAGCACCGGGTGCAGCACGCGGTCTAATGCTTGCACCAGGCCCGGGCAATCGCGCCCTGCCAAACATCAATCGTCTGATGGCGCTGGCTGAGCGATTGTTCTTTTTCCACGAACAAGATCACCTCATCGATATGGCCTTCGATGTCCTGCTCAACCGGATGTTGTTACCGCTAACCCGCAATGCGGTAACAAATGCCGAGAATGGCAATTTACCAGTCGCTGCTCCAGGCCTGGGTGCAGCCAACCCGCTTATCGACGGGTACTACACTGGATCTCGGGTTATGTCACGTATCTTCAAGGTGATCATGTCAAGCCACACGCTGCTGACGTGCGCCAAGCAGTATGTGAATGGCAAGCTAGGGATCTCTGGTCCGGTCATCGACTTCCTCAATTCCTTATCGCATTGAGACCACAACTCAGCGTCACCAACATGAAACCTGGACCAATCACCCTGGCAGGGGCATACTAGGACCTAACCAAGTCTACGCAGAAATAAGCAGACTCATATCCAGATCCCAGAGTAATGCACCGGCAGCTGCGCCAATGCGCGCATGAGAGCGCGCACGGCATCAGCAAAAAAAATCTCCTTTGCTATGCATGGGGATGGGGGATGGGAGAAGATCCTTCAGGCCGCGCGGGGGGATTCGGGGGTCTTGGGCAACCAACTACCTTAAACCTTAAACCCTAAATTACCCTAAGTTTTAAACCCTCAACCCTAAACCTTAAACCCTAAACCCCTTTTAATGTTTAGAGGCTTGGAGTCTATGGTCAAGGCTTATCTGCGAAAGTGCTGGCAAGGTAGGTCTGTGCGAAGTGTTGGTGACATGAAGCTTAAAGATACTTCCCCCATGTATACACAGTACATGTTTGAGGGTTCGGGTTTAGGGTTTCCTGATAAATCCTTCGGCACCTAAACCCCAGCCACGAACCCCAATATCCCTAAAAACTATTCAGCATGCCACGCACCCATACCCCTCAACCTTAAAGGGCTCCCAAAACAGTTTAGGGGTTTAGGGTTTTAGGGTTTAGGGTTTAGGGAAAAGAGAATATCAGGGGAATTTTGGCATTCCCCCTAACTTCTGGCAGTTGTAGGTTTCCTAGAATATCTACACCTCCTTTGCAGCATCGCTTCCGCGAAGTGTATCAGTCTGATACGCTCTTCCATGTTCGCTTCAGGGAGGGTATTTGGTTGGAATGCGCGGTTGGAATTGCAACAGTGACGAACTTGTAGGCAAAGGAGGTGCAGCTAACATGGAAGACAGAAGAATTTCCAATATGGTCATAGATTCCTTGTAGTGAAATTCGGTCTAGTGTCTTTGCCTCGAATCGACCTCCAAAACCAGTCGGAAATTATTCAGGCTTCTGCATTGAAACCCTAAACGCCTGCATGACATGATTTTCTACCTTCTTCTGCATTTGAGGAAAATCTCCCTAAACCCTAAGCCCACAGCCTAAACAGTAGTTTCCCTACTATGACCCCTATATAATCCCTACATAACCCTTATATGTCTTATTCATACCCCTAGACCCTAAACCTTAATTCCATAGAGAATCCCAATATTCCCGCAAGCCCTAGGACCTTGGGTTTTGGGTTCAGTTTTCAGGGTGTCGGATGTAGGTTTTTGGTTTAGGGTTCAGTCTTTAGGGTTCAGGCAGTAGCGTTGAGGACTGGGGGGTAAGGTTTAGGCTTGAGGGGCTCCGGGTTTAGGGTTCAGGGTGTAGGGGGTAGGGTGTAGGGTTTGGGGGTTACAGATTAGGAGCTCAAAGTGAACTTTACTCCTCACCCCTGTGAGTTATGCTTTGCAATTATAGCGGCCACAAGATGTGGTCAGCTACTTGGAGGTCCATGGGTACTTACAGCTCAAGTAAAGGGTTTAGGGTTTAGGGTTTTAAAGTTTGGGTTAGAATTATGCTTAGAAAAAGTAGGCTGAATGATTAAGCCCGTGACAGATCCTTTTGAGATCCCTCTTAACCCAATTCCCTTTCAGTCTTTCATTTGACATTCAACTAGAATTACCCGTGGACCTCCAAGTAAGAGGCAATACCTCCCGGACCTGCGATCGCCTGTGAGGGCATTATGTGAGACAGCTTCCAGAAGTATTTTTGTGAGTGTATATACTGGGTGTTCAGCTGGTTAGATCTTAGGTTAGAAGCAGCGGTTACGTTCCCGAGGATTGCACCCCTGGGATTGCGACCCTAACCCTACCCCCAGGGGACTGGTTTGTATAAGAGCTTTAGTGGGGCCATGTTGAAGGAGCCATCTAGGGGTACGGTTTACGGATGTCTTGTACATACTAGACCAGCCACCTCATAATACATGCCACCCAGCGTAGTACCAGTATACATTATGGGGAATAGGGCATGTGTTTAATTTTATGAGGATGCAATCACCATATAGCCCCTATGAACCCCAAGTTTCTAGGTGATTTTTCATTTGATTCTACAATTGGAATACTTGTCCCTAAGCCTTCAACCCACACCCCAAAAAGTAGTTTCCCTACTCTAACCCTTCTAGAATCTTTATGGGGGCTGAATCAATATATACTCTAATAATCCCTATATAACCCCTATCTAGCCCCTGTAATCCCTGTAGTTTTCATTTTCTTTTCCAATATCCCTCCTAAACCCTAAACCCTAAACCCTATATACCTAAACACCTAAACCCCTAATATTGCCCCAATGGGTAATTATATTGAATGCAGTTTGAGCCCCCTAACCGCCATCGAGGTTAAGGTCAGGGTAGCTGAGTTCAGGATTGGGATCTATCTTGCGGTTTAGGGGTTTAGGGTTTAGGGGTTTAGGCTTTGGGGAGTTTTAGGGGTTTAGGTTTTAGTGAATTTGGGCAGGAGGGTTTTCAAGGCTGCTTAATGTAGAACCCCAGCTCCAACTACCCATGGACCTCCAAGCCTAGGACAACAAACCCGAAACTCTATAGTCCCCCTGAAATAGATAGATGGCTTTGGGTATGTTATAATAAGATCCCCATATACCCCATATTCTATCTACTTAAGGGGGACTACAAACCCTGAGCCCTACACCCTATCAACTGAGGGCTCTGGGCTTGAAACCCCAGACTGTTACTGTACTGGAAACCCCTAAACCTTAAACCTGAAAGCCCTACACCCACAACCCTAACCCTAAACCCTCGACCTTGAAACCCTAAACGCTAAACCCTCGAACTTGCGTGTCCTCATGGTGCAGTCCAGGTTGGAGGTTCAGGGCCTGATTTTTTCCGCTTAAGGCTAGCGCCATCTTGCGCCCATACCGCCGGACATCTTACATGAAGGTTTTTAGGGTTCAGGATTTAGGGTTTAAGATTTAGGGTTGGGGGGTTAGGATTTAACATTTAGGGTTTAGGGTTTAGCATTTAGGGTATAGGGTATGGGGATGATGGGACAACTTTACAGGGGTATGGAGATCTAGGATAACTTTAGAGGGGAGGAGCAATCCTAAACCCTAAACCCTAATAGGGATGTATGTGGCAACCTGACAGAGGCCCCACACGGCTGAAATACGTTTCGGGTTTAGGGTTGCTAAATGCGCAATCCACTCTCTAAAGCCCTATACCCTAGACCCTAAAGCCCTACATCTTGAACCCTAAGCCCTAAACCCCTACACCCTAAACCTTTAGTATTTCCTCAACTGCAACCCAGGGTGGCTGAGGGCGTCTCTTTTCTCTGTGTGGCATAAATCTGGTTCTTGGAGCCACTGGGAGGTCTTGTTAAGGCCTTGGAGCGCAATCCTAGGAACAGTGGCATGATAGGAATGCAAGTGTGTAAACAATTGCGATATTCAGGTCCAGATTCCTGGTATAATTATGGCATAGGGTACCTCAGCATCATATTGGTAATTGCTTAGGCCCCTGTAGTTGGCGCAAGAGCATCTCACGATGAAACCTGGTTTCGAAGGCCTCATACCGGGGTTTCCATAAAACCAGGGGATCTTTTCTACCGGTACCTGGAAGAGCTGTACCTTTGGTAAATATCATGGTAATGTGCCACCCCTTCTTTAAAATGTATCCACCCCCCAGCACCCCCCCCCCCCGCAATAGGGGTGCGGAAAACATTCAGTTGAACATCCTCAATACAGCTCCCATGGTACTTCACGGTACTGAGGGCCCCAATAGGCCTGGAGGATTGCTTTACAGAGGGTGGTCTGGATTCGGTCCTGTATTTCTAGGGCTCCAAAACCGAACCAGAGTATTCAAGTTCTTCCCGGCAATGGCCTGAAATTGTATATATGCGGTGACCAACGCGCATTATTCAAGGTCTCTTCACTAAAGCCAGCGCAATGTTATTGTGGGGTCTATATTGGGTTCCCTATTTTTTCTAGAAATTTCCATAAATCCGGAACCTTGATGTAAACTTACTCGCTCTGGCCGCTGTACCTTTGATTTCAGAAGCCAGGTACCTTATTTGAAGGCAACATGGGGTTCCTGTGAGGCAGGATCTCAAAAAACTCAGCTCAGAATGTCGTGGAAATTCTTCAGCTTCCATCCCACCCAAACCCTATACCCTTAAGCCATCCAAAGCTCCAAACCCATAACATGGTATATGGGCGCTCTTTTGAATGGCTGCCAGCTGCCTTGATGGACCGGCCCTACATTGCGAAAGATCGAGTCCGAGTTTAGGATGAGAGGTTGCCTTAGGTCCCCACCGACTAATACTGGCATGTAAGTGTAGGGTTAAGGGTTTAGGTTTAGGGTTTACGTCTAATAGTAATACATTAGGACTATAGAATACAAACCTGAAAGATGGCTACCATTATCACTTGTGACCGTAGGTGGGGGGCCAACAGATATTTAGATAATAATGAGAGAAATTATTGTGAAAAATAGTCACAACAGGCATCATAGCAATAATCGTTTTGAGAGTAAATAGTTAGTTACGACAGCAGTAGTAATATCAGTAACACTAGCAAGAATAGTAGTAAGAACAACAGTAATATGAGGAATATTGGTAGTAATTGTAATCCGAGGAATAAAGGTAAGAAGCATCGTATGTACGTATGTAACAACAGTTATAGCCCTTAAGCACGAAGCCGCGTGGGTGTAATGTAGTCGAAAGAAGGCTTTCTGGCGCGTTGGGGTGCAGGTGGTAATGCAGCTAGGATGACAGGGGATTGTATGTAGGATTAATTCCTTCAGCACCCTGGACCGTGAACCCTACATCCTAAATGCTACCCCGAAATCCTAAACCCTAAACCCTAAACCCTTAAACCCCTAAACCCTTAAACCCTTAAACCCTTCAACCCCAAACCCTTAAACCCTTAAACCCTTAAACCCCAAACCCTTAAACCCCTAAAACCCT